CGAGGAGGTGCCGCCGGAAAGGGGGCTTCGCGGTCAGGGCGCCCGGGACCCTGCAGCCGCCACGGGCAGGTGGCGCGTCCCAGGGGTCCCCGACACTTGGAAAAGAATTGCCGATGACTGACAGCATGAAAACTTTTTAGAAGACATGGTCTGCGAAAATTTTTAATTCTGACAGATTGTTTCCCGCAAGAGCCCTCCTGAGTGTGGAAAGCCTTGCTTTTCTTTGCCTTACTGGATTCATTCTGCGGGAAAGGCGCCAGACGGCTTGAGGGGTGCGCAGCGCCTCCCCCGCTGGATCTTAAGGCAATCATTGTTTACTAGTGTGTTCTGCTACAGAACAGGTAGCCTGGAAATGAATTTGTAGCTCAGCTGCTTAACTCTGGGTTGACTGAGGGGAGGGGTACAAGTCCTTGCTGAGGGGAGGGCGCTGGGTTTCAATACCTAGAACTTGGGGTGGGGTTTGTTGTTCTTTTTTGGGTGTTTTTTGACATTTTCCGTCCCCCACTTTGTGTGGCGTGTGGAGCAGACAGCCCCCACTTGTATATGATTTACACAGAGGCGGTTCTGTGACATACGGATACTTGTGTGCATTTCCTATTTCTCATAGTTAACTTTTAAAGACTAAATTACCACTTCTAATTAGAAACACTGACCAGATACATGGATGCCCCCAATATTTCACTAGAAATTGCTGTAGATTTTAATTAATTTTGATGATAATTTTTATTTTTTAAAGCATATATATATATATTTTTATTCTGTAAGTATTACATGATCATTGCAGAAAAGTTGGTATACACAGATCAGGAAAAGAAGTAAACTTAATAACATTCCACTTGCTAAGACCTCTTTTCCTAGAAGCCTAATCATTTGACAACTTTGCAGCTACACATTTTTTTCTTTCATTGCCAGCAAACCTGGTTTAGGAACTGAAAGTAGGAATGGACAAGAAAATAAATTTAAAGAAGTGTTATACTAACAATAAGTTATTCATATGGTTCCTGGTTTGGGACAATTTATTGTGTGGCTCTTTCTCTTGAATCAACTTTCCACATCTGCCCCTGGCAAATGGTTTGTGTTTGTACAGCCTGTTTTGTAAATATAGCCCTCCTTGGTCCAGGCAAAATGCCGAATACATGCATACCCCTTTCCAGTGCTCATAGCTTCCTCGCAGAATATTTTTATTGGTTTCTACATCAGAACTTCCTCACCAATCCCTTGATAAACCCTGGAGAAGGTTACCAAGGGATGTTGTAGAGAATTTACTTCCCTGGAGACTTTAAGAATAGGATAAACAGCCATCTGTCTCTGTGTGGTGCGGTCTGAAGAGGAGAGACTGCCTCTCAGAACCTCAGCCCTGAGGAATTCTGAACATCCTTGGCAATGTTGAACCGAAGGAAATAATGATTGCCAAAAGTGCCTGAGCCCTGTGCGAGGTGAAACCTTGTTTTGATTTATGTGACACAAAGGTATTCTTTTGATAGGAAAGATTTTTAGATTGTCCTAGGGTTACCAAACCTTTTCTTTTATGCACAGAAATTGACATTGATTGCTTTTTGGGAAGTTATAGATCAAATGCAGAATAAATTATTTGATTTAAAGCAGAAGAATCAATTCATGGGATTAAAAGCGTTAACTCAAAGGTGGGAAGTGTGCATGCACTGTGTGTGTGTGTGTGTGTGTGTGTGTGTGTGTGTGTGTGTTTTGTACCTCTGAGCTAAAGATGGTGACCCCTGGCTTTTCTTTTTCTTTTTTCATTTTGAGACAGACAGGGTTTTACTGTGTTGCCCAGGCTGGTCTCAAACTTTTTTTAACTTCATCCAATCCTCCTGTTTTAACCTCCCAAGTAGCTGCTACTGCACCTCTGCCTGGCTTTATATTCTTCATTTTTAACTCAGTGTTATTTTTGTGCCCTAGCTTGTTTGTTGTGTCAGTTTACTTTTTTAAAAATCAGTTATTGTTTTAATTGACTCATGAACATCCACAATATTTCGGGTACCATGTGATGTTTTGATGCATGTATATGATGTGTTAATGTTCAAATCCTGTTGAGCAGATCTATTCAAACAGCTATCATTTCTTTGTGATTACATTTTTAAAAAGTTAACATTCTACTTTCTCCTCAAAATTTATACATGCGTATGTAGAGAGCTCCTATAGCGAACTGACTGAAACCAAGCCTTCCTTGTAAATCCTAGGAAAGGAGGTTCCCTTGGCCTCCAGCAAGGCCTTGGTTTTGCTGGTTACATCCAGAAGGTCAGTATTCATGCGCTTCCTCTGCCTTCTGTCGTCCTATCCATGGTGTGACCTCAATTACAGTGTCATCTTCTTCCCTTTTACTTGAACAAGAACTGCTACCTATTTCCTCCTACAAGACTGTAGAGAAGGGCTCAATTTCTAGGAACGGTTATATGAAAAAGAAAAGCAGGAAGTCTGAGACTCCTGCCTAAGCAGTTTTCCACCTTGCTTAATGGTGAGCAATAGGTGGGCTTCTCACCCTTCAACTTGCCATGTTTCTCCACACATGCCCAGAATGCATTTTCTCATAGTAGTGCAACACCCAGAGAAGGAATAGGAGTGTGAACACTGGTCATTCATTTATTCAGCAAACATTTACTATGTGGGAGGCTTCCCAGGAATGGGTGATTAGTTGGTTTCCTGCTCTCAGGAAGCTTGTCCTATAAGAAGAAAAATAAAGCATGTAAATAAGCAAGTGCCATTCTGAGGCAGTGGCATACAGGTGTTAAGAATGTAAGTGTGTTGTAAAGTTAAACATATGCCAGTTTATAACCTGACATTTCCACACCCAGCTATTTACCGAAGATAGATGAAAACAAATGTCCACAAGAAAGACTTGTACAGAATGCTCATAGCAACCTACTTCATGATTGCTGCCACCAACCAGAAATAACAAAACAACTATTAACAGAAAATGGACACACTGTGGTACATCCACACAATGGGATACTCCTCAGCAGTCAACAGGAATGAACTCTTGACGCTCAAAACAAAATAAAACAGGGCTGGGGATTTACTTCAGTAGTGCTACTGCCTGCCTTGCAAGTGCAGGGACCCAAGTTCGATCCCCGTTACCAAAAAACAAAATAAAACAGCAAAAAATGTTAACAGTATTTTATTAACTATAAGAATACACAGCAATTTCATTTATGAAGTGCTAGAACAGGCAAAACTAATCATAGTAATACGAGTGCTTGTCTTTGGGTAGGGTGTTTGTCTGGAAAGAGGTAAGAAGGAATTTTCTGGAGTAACAAATGTTTTATGTTTGTTTTCAGTGATAGTTACATAGGGAGGCACAATGATCAGACCCCATTGAACTGAATTTAGAAGTCCTGTATGTTTTATTGTTGGCAAAGCATTATCTCAGTTAGAAAAAGAAAGGAACTTGGTAAACAAAGGTGTGTATCCCATCTGTCTCTATACTTTCAGGAATGCAAGTTATGGAATGCCTGTGAGCCACAAAATCTTGGCATTGAGAATATATCTCCTTCCTGGAGTTGTTGTAAGGACTGAATTTGATAATGATTAAAAGTAGCTTGGTGAGAACTCAATAAACATGTATTATTCCCATTTACTTTAATAAGTATACTATATGATTTTGGTGTTGGTAATCAGAGTATTTATACTTTTTGTGAATACCGTCTCACTTACTTAAGTTTATTAAGGATTATATAGCATAAAAGGAGGCGTGCATGATGCTACAGTATCTTCATTTAATAGGTCTTCTGTTTTGAGCTTGTAGGAAATTTAAATGTATGTACATCTTGCCTGCTCAAAATGCCACTTTGCATGGCTTTGTCTTTAAAGGTAAACCCCAGGGAAAAAATTGATCCTTTTTCTAATCTTTACTGTTTATTGCTACATTTTAGGTATACAATACAGTTACATTCATCATTGGGGTCTTGTACCCTTACATGATTTATCTTGGTTGTTTGGGTTTTTCTTTTTCTTTTCTTTTCTTTTTTTTTTCGTTCTGGTATTGAACTCAGGACCTTGCATTGGTGAGGCAGGTGGTAGAACCACTGAGCTAAATCCCTGGCCCTCTTGATTCTTATTTTTCCCCATTCCCCAGCCCTTCCTTCAGCCCCTCCACCTGTCCCAGTTTACAAAGACATGTTTTTCCTTTTCAAATATTTTTTCTTTTCCCTGAAATCCTTTATGTAAACCCCTCTTATTGAGTACTGATTTATTTAGCATTCAAAAATGAATTCCCAGACTAAGCTTATAGCATCTTTTGGGAATCCAGATGAAATATTTACATACTATTATCTTTCCAAAGATTTATGCAGTTCAGGCCAGCCTTGAACTTACCATGTAGCCCAGGCTGGCCTCAAACTTACAACAATCCTCTTGCCTCAGCCTCCTGAGTGCTGGGATTACAGGTGTGCACCACCACACCTGGCCAATATGGTACTTTTTTAAAGGATTAATAGCATAACTTGAATTCTCAATAAAATAATGACAAGTTTATTTAATCTATTAAATTCCAGTTGTTTTGTTTGAGTTCAACAAAGTGTGTGTTAAATACTTTGTCAACATCTGAGTTATGTTTATTGTTTGAATGGTTTAATTCACTTAGTAAATACTTATCAGACACTTACTAAGAATTTCTTAGCCTCTGGCAATTCAGCGATGAACAATAAGACATTATACCAGAAGTTTGCAGATGCTACTCTGTCTTCGATAGTGAGGGTATATACATTTCCGTTGGAGTGTTTCCTCAGCAGAGCTGTCCTCAGCTAGTTCTGATTTTCTATATATTCTATCTACATTTTGTTTCTAAAGCCTCCAGCTGACTGTGGAAGCCTAAAATCCTGGCTTTTTAAAAAATTAGTATATATTTTTTAAACATTGGAATTTCTTGCTAAGGTTTGCTCTTATTATTTCTTACTAAAAATGACAAGAAAATGTTCTTATAGAATGAAAGTTGAGTGCTGGAGAAAGGTCATAGGCAGAGGGAATAGAATGATTTAAGATTGAAAATGAGCTCTGCTGAATGCTTTGGGGAGTCCATTAGGCTTCTGCAAAATAGTGAGATAATACCTTGAGAAAGGCATTAGTGCTTACGAGATTAAGGTTGTTAGAAGATCAAATGACAAAATACGTGGAAAAATCACAAGGAGGGCACCTGGTAGGTGTGACTTGCTAACATTTATCAAGTACTTCCTAAGAGTCCAGCCCTGTGACAACCTCTGCTCTGTGGACTGATTTGATCTTCCTTACACTTCTGAGAAGTTGGCACTATTACCTCCCTTTAAAGGTAAGGAAACCAAAACAAAGAAGATATTAGTTTGCCAAGGGCACCGAGGTGCCAGGGTTAGAACTCAGTACCATTCTGCCTTATGATTAATGAGGTCCATGATGCATGCTAATTGCCTTTGCCTTTTAGATGCAAGAAGAATGACACAGCAAGTGAAGCTCGTGTAGGGTTTATCGGCTATGGGAAAGGAGAGGTGGCAGAGAAGGAGCTAGTGACTCCCTGAGTGTGTTCTTACCTGGCTAATGGGTCTTCCGTCTTCCATAGGAGGAGGCAGCAAACGTGTCAGATTCGTTCCCCAGCCTCTCAAAAGACCCGTGTCAAATGGCCTTCTCTGGCTTTGTCCTTCAGGCCTTACCCCAGTGGCCCTGGTTAAGGAGGCAAAAAACTATTAATTTATGAACCCAAAACATGGACAGTCACAGTTGACCTAGACATTGTGAAACCTGGGTGGAGACTGGCATAGATGCATTTCTTCTCAGTCTCTCAAAGGAAGGTGAGGTAAGAAAATGTTCCAGAGCACCATGATACTAAGAGGAAAAGTCAAGTGCTGACCGGGAAAATTTTGTATCGTTCATTTCTAGGCATTTCTTCAACTCCTAGGTTCTGGAAAACCTTGAATTAAAACTTTAAACAAACCCCAAGTGGTAGGTTGAAAACTGAGCTGACTTCATGAATGCTTAAGTCATATTGGCCCATTTATTTTAAAAATGTGTAGATGCCAAGGGAGAAGATGTAGTTAAGTAAATACCTTGTCAATCCACATCCCCGAGTCATTATTATGCGACATCCCAGCTGCTCCTTCGTGTGGTGCAGGGTTGACCAGGAAAGTGGAATCCCAGGACCACTTGCTCAACCATTCACAGATCTACCCAGAAGCACAGCATGTAGAGTGGGTGGTGCTGGAGACACTGGGCTGAGGCCAGGTGGTGCAGGGAGGAGCCATTAGCCAAGCATCGCCTGCAGCCCTGTGCTTGCAGAAATGCAGCTCTTTGCCAGTTCTGTCCAAGCATATGGTCCCTGTTAGTTCAGGGCAGCATTGCTCTCTGCAGGGGGAGAAAGGACTCTGGAAAAGATCCTACGAAGATCCCTCCCAGTTGTCCTGACACCCTTGAGGCCTTGTGCCTGGCTGTTTTGCCTAGTGCAAGCTCCACATTGGTCTTCTCTGGCTCACTGAGCCCCTCTGAGCCCCTTCCCCATGGCCCACCACCTTTTTGACATTCAGCCCTTTGTGTCGGTTCCCATGGTTACTTCCTTACTGCTGGCAGCTGGAATGTGTCCAGAGAGGGGGCAGCCTCCCCCACTGAGCCAGGGCTGACTGGGGCAGAGCCCACTGAGCCACAGCTGGATTCATGAAATGGGGTCACAGTCCAGTACCTCCTCTTTGTCCTGGGTTGGGTACCTTTCCCAGGCTTGATGTGTGAGGGCTGCAGTGGGAGGAGACCTGTGGGCTAATGGATGGCCAACAGGGTTTCCTGGATAAGTTGGCCTGTCCTGGCTGTCTCCTCACCTGCCAGACTTCTGCCGGGGGTGGCTCATTCCTTGTACTAAGGCCCAGGGAAGCGGGTGGACTGCTTGCCCAGGCAGACGGTGTGATCACTCCCTGCCAGCTGGCCCTTTACTTTTGTCTCTCATGCCATCCATTATGAGTTAGTCAGTATTAGTAAGGCCCAGGCTCCAGGCTTGAGAGAGTAGTGTCAAAGACAGGTTTTCCATCCAGCCTGGAAGACAGGCATTGGAAAATAGAGGAGAGAATGGGGCCTTGAGATTCCAGATGAGAGAGAGAACAAGACTAGCCAAGACTTTGTCTTGAAACTGTCTCTTGCCACCATTCAGAGGCTTCTTTAATTCCTTTTCGTTTGGAGTTCAGTTGGCCCCAGAGTGGAGATGAGACTTGTAACTACAGATAGAAACTAAGCGTTGGTATTGAGGAGAAGGGGAAGTAGTCTGAGGTAGAAATCAGGGCTGGAAAGATTGTGTTTTTCCTGGGGTAAGAAAATATGTCTTCTAGCGATCTTTGGGCTCTAAAGCTGTGGGTGATGATGCTAGGGAGAAAGTGGTTGTGTTGTCCCCTGGGAGCCTTGTCACTGAATAGGGTCTTACTTTCCCACTTTCTTTGGGATGCTGAATAAGTTACTGAAATCACCTGTGCCTTTATTTCTGGTAACACTTCGTAGGGTTGTTATGAACATTAAATTTGTTAAATAAAAATACTTTTTAAACCATAAAACTCAACACAGGTGCTAGTTGTAGTATTTTTAAATGATGTTTTGAGAATACCATGCTAGACCAAAGGCAGATTTCATCTATCTTACTATGTGTTGTGTAAGCTGAATATCCCTTATCTGAAATGCTTGGGACCAGAGTTGTTTCAGATTTTGGAGTTTTGTCCAAATAGTTTTGTTCACATAGGTTTTACCAGTTAAGCACCCTTAATCTGAAATACAAAGTGCTCTAAAATCCAAAACATTTTGAGTATTATGTCAGTGGAATTTGGAACATTTCAGATTTTCAAATTAGGATCTCCAGTCTCAGAGACCATATGCAGGATTTAGGCCATAAGAGGGGACTCAGAAATTCTAGTGCTGGGGTGCACAGGGACATACAGACTAAGAAAAAGAGAGCTGAGGGTTTAGCTCAGTGGTTCTGCTGCCTGCCTTGCAAGTGCAAGGACCTAATCTCAATCTCTAGTACCAAAAAGAAAAAGAAAACCCCAGCCTGTATTACTCTGGGCCATAATAATAAAGGTGAAATAATGGGGATAAATAGAAACTCGGCTCATGAAACCACAGTTGCAAACTGTGTTTTGTTGGAAGGCTCCACCGGCAGCTGCAGGCAGTTAATTTTCTACATAGTGGCTTCATTTTAGTACTTCACCTTCCTTGTAAATTATGCTTCCATAGACTTAAGCAAAAGCTGAGGAGAGCTGTGGAGACACAGCGTCCTCTTTAGGTGACAGCAGAGGTTGGGAACGTGTAAGCCTGCGATTCAGAGGCACTTCCATCACATGGGGTATCTATTATCTACCCTAAACAGCAGATATTGGATATTGTGAACACAAAGGCAGTCGGCACAGGCTTCTTCAAAACACACATGTGAGCTCCTTTTGGCAAACCAGTAATCCTCTTGGGCAAAGTAAGGACTAGGTCTCCATCCTGAACAAGGTAGTGAGTTCCTTTTTACTAAGATTCCTCAATTGATGCCAGATTTAGCGAGGGACCTGTTTGCTCCCAGTGAATGACAACCTCCGTTTACATTTTTAATGTCCACCCCAATCCACTAGGCGGGTCCAGGGCTGGAGCAGTGTATTTTCAGGCAGATGGGAAAGAGAAAGCTTCATTCCTACAGGAGCCCCAAAGTCCTCCTGGAGCCTCTGTCTCTCCACCTTGCCCATGTCCCTCCCACCAGAGCTGAAAAAAACCTGTGCTCTAACTCTTTAAACAGCAGGGAAGGACATCCAATGTTGGGCCATCCCTGCCTAGGGCTAATACTCCCTTTGGTGAGCACAGCCTTAAAACTAAGATTTTGAGGTTAATTCTTTAGTTGTTGAGTCAGGGTCTTAGTATGTAATTAAGACTGACCTTGAATTCACTGTGGCCTCAAATTTGCAGTAATCCTCCTGCTTCGGCCTCCTAAGTGCTGAGATTATGGGTATGCACCACCACACCCTGCTCAAGGTTAATTCTGATATCCTTGACCTTGGGGAGCCATCTGTTTCTCTCCAGTCACTGTCCTCTATGCTCATCGCATTCTAAGAGGCCCCGCTGATGCCATTTTTCCCATCCTTTTCTGAAGACACGCCTTAATGTTACAATTATTTCTGTTTCTTCCCAAATGCTTTGGGCATGGTTAGCTGCCCTTTTAAGGGAATTAAATAACTCATCATTATACCACCAATTCATACTTCTATGGTGACTTTCTGCATTCATCGTTCCTTCATAAGTCATTGATTCAGTGCCAGTAGCTGCCATCTTACAATGGCTATTATGCCACAAGGCAGACAGCTCTGCTCCCTCTTTCCAGGTGAGACCTGAGGCTCAGAAACTGGCACAGCCTGATCAGAACCCAGGTCATCTGGCTCCAAATCCTATGTGTGTCTCCTCAAGGGGACCAGGTCAGAATCTGCCCTTTGTCCTACAAAGCTTCCAGCCTGGAGCCTGCATGTAGACAGTGCTCATTACATGTTAATGGAGGTTCTTAGAGATTATGTTTTTTTTCAGTCAGAATTTGTCATTTCTGGATCTTCTTCACTTTCATTCATGGACTATTAAAGGTAAAAAGAAAAAAAAGGTAAAAAGGACCCTCAAACTCACTTCTCTCTCCATAGTCTCATTTTACACAAAGAGAAAAATAGCCCAGAATACTCACTTGAGTTGCCCACAGTGATTGAGAGGGCCTGGGGCAGCTCTCCTGGCTGTTGGCCCAACACTATTTCTCTCTATAATAGTGCATGTTATGGCCATTTAAAAACTATCCACACTCCTTTTTCCTAATGTTTTGTGGAAATAAGGGAGGGAGAACTATCAAATCTTTTTTCCGGTTCTACTTCCACCATATTGTTTCCTTTCTTGTTCTCCCTAGAAATGCTACCACACTGTGCAGCGTAGTCTAGGAAAGGAATTTGGGCCGGGACATGTTTTTTTAGCCACTGTCGTATTTCCCATGGTGTCCCACAGTGCAGATGTGAGCCCATTGTGGTCTGGCACTGGTTGGATTGTATTCTGTGCACCCCTCCCACCTAGCAGACCAACAGTGCATTGCTGTGGTCCAGGCTGGACTTTAGTCTGGGTAGATGGTGATCCCCATTCAGAAGAGGTAGGGGAGCCCACTAGGAAGCTGTTCCAGGGTCCACTCAGAATATATTTTTATTAGTCAAATGTTTATTGAGCATCGGCTCTGGGAAGTGAAACGTACTGGGCCAAGGAAGAAGAGAACTCCAAATTAGATTAAGACTTGCACAGTGTTTAAGATCCTAGATGTTGCTATCAGCCAGATTTCACCTATCATTCCTCTACTTTGCAATTCCACAGGAGGGGGGCTCATGTCTGTTTTGCCACCATTGCTAGTCTAGTGGCCCATGGTTAATATGTGGCCTGTGGTTGGCCCTCAGTGACTGTTGGTGGAGTGGATGACTGGGCTGGCTACACGAGTGGGCAGGCTTTGGGTCCCAGCATGAAACATCTGTCTCAGCACATGCTGCATTGTTTCAGTCGTGTGGCCAGGGTGAGGAAGTTCTTTAAGGGCAAGCATGCAGTCTGATGTCAAGATTAGAGAGTGAGCAAGCTCTTCAAGTTCTGCCTCGTTTCTCCAGATCTAAGAGCAGTTGTGCTTAGGAAAGAGGGGTCCCATATAACTTTCAGTGACTTTCTACCTTCTGCTTCTGAAGTTTTCCCTTTAAAGAAGCTTTTGGTATTAAATATTCCCCACCTTTGTCAAAGGCCCTTTAGGATTGCAGAATCCAAAGGTCCAGTGTTAAATAAGGTAAAGCACAAAAATTGGAGTTAAGAACCCTGTTGTGCCAGTTCTGTGGTTTACAACTCCTGACCAAATAGCTCTCCATCAATGAGGCTGTCTCTGCGTCTGCTAAGTGGGGTAGATAATGGCTGCTTCATGGGCATGTGAGGGTTATTGAGGGCCAAATGGAATAATGCCTGGGAAACTGCTTTACAAGCTAGACTGTCTGATATGAAAGTATGGACTACGGCTCTTTGCTGCAGAGCTGTGCATGATTCTTTGGAACTACCACTTGTTACATCAGTGAACAGAACAAGGGCAGGTGAAGAAAGGTCTATGCTGAATTTTCTCTGAAGTAGTTCCTGTCCCTCTGCTGACAGTGGTTTTCCAGAAACCCTACTTCTTCTTCCAACAAGTATTTTCTGTGGCACTAGAGCTCCCAAAGTAAAGCCCAGGATGGAATCTTTCCTCTGCCTGGGCTTGCTCTCCATTTCCTGGAGAAGATTTTGCTTTAAAAATATGGAGAAATTTGATGCTTGGGCTCATGTTAGTTTTTAGCAAGCTAATTTTCTGATAATTACTTAATGTCAATTGTAAATAATTTGCAAAATATAGAAGAAAAGAAAATCACCTATAATCCTACCACTTTGCAGAGTATGTTTGGTGTATTGCTGGTGTTGGTTTTATGCCCATCTTTTTGCCTCCCATGAACAGCCAAGGGTGATGTGAACAGATAAGAAGTGCGCAT